GCCAGCAGCAGCCCCAACCAGACCGACATCAGCACAAGTTTCCCTCCTGTGCCTCCTGCGGTCCTCAGCCTTGGCCGTGGCATCTCGGATCCTTCTGGGTATCGTGTGCAAAGAGCCTGGACTGCGGGTCTTTGGGCCGGTGCTGTCTTGCAGGGTCGCGCTCGAGTCGTTGACCGCACGCCACCCCTGGACTTGCGCAACCGCCTCTACATAGTTCTGCGTGCCCCGGGCCTTGAGAGCCCTGGCCTCTACAGCAACTTCTCCACCTACAGGCGTGTCGTTCGGAACCATTCTACTGACTCTGTTTCTCACGGCTTTGCCTCTCTGGCCGAGGTCCGAGTCTACTGTGCAGGTGCGGGCGTTGCCTGCCCCGAGGAGCAGTGACTTCTTGAGTCATGGAAGCCAGCAATTTGGTTTGTGTAGAAGATGGCTCCGTGGAGCTCCTGGAGCTCACTTGGCCACCTGTGAGCCCCGCCGACGACGAGGACACCCTACGAGCCACTTGCCTTTGTTACGCCGTCATGCGTCGTCCTGGGGGCTTTCTTCTCTGCCTGCCCTCGGGTTTCCTGCCTGCCGACCTCCTGCGTGCCGGGGAGGAAGCAAGTGCCACCGACCTGGTTGGCCTGTCTCTGAGCATCGCCGTTCCGCCTATCAGCTTGACCGAAGAAGGCGAGTGGGTCCGCCCTACCGACACCACTCCGGTCCCGGCTTTGGTGGTAGACTTGTCAGATACTGCTGCCGAGTGCTTGGCCCAGGCCGACAACCTCCTTTCAGATGCTGCCCCTTTTGTTTTGGAGCGTCCCGGGATTTTCCCTCTGGCTTCGGACGTGCTGAGGCAAGCTCGGTCGTGGGCGGCGAATGGATCCCAGCCAGACCGCTCCGGCTATCAAACAGCTGCCTCCGAGGTTCCCGCCAACAGGCTCCCAAAGGCAAACCCGAAGCCGAAGCGCCCGACCGTGGCACAGCTCGCCAGCCAGCAGGAGGCATTGTCAAAAGCCGTTGCCGGGATTGCCGAGCAACTGTCATCACTACCAGTGTTGGGGGAGTCTCCTCCAGCCCAGGCCCCGACACCGGCCCCAGCAGCAGCCCGGAGCATCTTAGCAGCGCCTGTCTCAAGCCACCTCGTACAGCCACCGGTCGACCCAAGGACAAGCCTGCCCGAACTTCTAGGCCCCCCTCCTCGGCTTCGAAATGCCCTGCAGGTTGCTGCCCAAGACCAGGCGGAGGAAGAGCCAGCGGGCTTCACTGGTTTCGGCGCCAATGCCGGCGATCTGCCAATCCCTGCCGAGGCCTCCAGTGCCTCCTTAGCCGAGGCCATGCTTTTGCAATCCAAGGCCCTGAGCGCTTTGGTCAGCCAGCTGGCTCAATCCCAGGACCCCTTGGCTGTCGACCTTTCTTCGGCACCAGCCTCAGGCTTCTCGACCCGAGGCACTTCAGCACGGCAGAAAATGCAGGCAGAGCTTCTTCAGAGGGACGGTTCTTTTGCAAAGCGCCTCCGGCAAACCGCCCTGCGGCGCATATCCCCGACTTCGGCCGAGCCTGCCGAAGCCGACCTCATGACCCGCTACTTCGAGAGGTTCGGAGGTTTTGGAAGCCAAAAGCTGCTCGGCCTCTTCCAATACCAGCTGGCCCAGGTCAGCGATCTGTTGGCCCAGGGTTCTCCGAACGGGGCGGCCGACCTGGTGGCACAGCTTATTATCATGGTCGAGCAGGTCAACGCAGATGGTGGCAAGCACGACCTAGGGTTTCTTTTCAGCCTGCAGCCGGACCCCCCTGCTTCGGTGTTTGTGAACCACCCGTCGCTGCCGACTGCGGCGCTCAGGCCTTTCTCGCCGCTCGCCGATGCCCGGCTTGTTGCTTCTACCCTTGCCTATGTCAAAGAGCTGGAGACTTTGTCAAGCAGGCGCCTCGAGTACGGGGCTCCTCCGAAGAAGCCCAATACCCCGCCCCCGCTTGCGAAGGTGCCGCCGCCTGGGCCCACCCAGGCCGATCCGAGTGCCGAGCCTGCCCTGACAAAGAAGCAGATGCGTGCAAAGGCGTGGGCGAGCCGCCGGGCCGCCGAGGGGAGCTGACACCCCTCAAACCCTTCCCCATGGCGAAGGTACCTTGGGGCCCCGGAAGGGCTGTGGCCACGAGCATGGGTTTTGGACTCAAGAGCGGTGCCTCTCCTGTCCGCTATAAGGCCTCGCGCTGCGCCAAGCAGTCGCCTGTATTTTCTACTTGCCAGAAGTGCACTCCCGGCGTTGTGTGCAGCACTGGCCCTAGTGTGCCCGAAGCGGCCACCTCAAGCAACAATTTAATGCACGCCTCGGGGAAAGCTGCTCCTTTGACAAGCAGGTATCCTCGCCTCCCAGCCTCCGGTGTTTCCTGTGGCCCTTCGGTGCCACCCGGGCTGCAATCCCCTTCGGGCCCTGCCTTCTCGGAACCTGGCGGTCACCAGCCTAAGCCTTCGGGCTTTCCTGCAGGAACCTTTGACATGAAGACCGACTTCTGGGCCTGGGCCGCAGCCTTGCCACGGCTGCTTTTGGCCACAAATACTTCGTTCTCGCGCTTTCTTGC